TATTCTATACCTCGAGCCTCGAGTGTTATATTACACAATTATATTTAGTCAATGTGACTTCATGTTTACACTGATAGTCATACAACAAACAACTGTAAGGCGGAATAAAACAGTTCACCAAAAGGAGAGATTGCAAAGACATCACCCTGTCCATAGTTAACAGTTGTAAGTACTTGAATGTAATATTTACGTCTACTTTCAAGATGTCAAACTGCATTGCTGATCTGGCAAATCGTGGAAAACAGGCTTTGGTGGAAATAAATATCAATTTCAATAAGATTGAAATGATTGATCCAAAGGAATAGTTTAAAATATTTGATACACAAGTATTACCAATACCTTTATATGGTTCGAAAGTAACTGGCTGTATAAACAATTAGAACGAGTACATCTTTTGGAACGTCTTTTAAATGTGGGAAAACAAACGCCAAATGCCATTGTCTACGGTGAACGTTGTCTCTCCTCGCTTCATGTCAAGGCGCAAGTCCATATTATGAAGTATTGGTGACAATAACCAGAATGCATGAAGGGAATATCCAAATATGTTGATGTATTTCCACAGCATTGGTCATAATGCTTGGGTAATATCTGTTCGTAACTTTCTATTTTCGCATGGTTTGGGATTTGCATGGTTAATCAGTTTGATAGGGACACTATAGCTTTTATTGGGGTATATAAATACGTCTCTTACAGATGCATTTCGTTAAAACTGGATGTTAACACTCAACAATATGATATCACTCGATATATTATGCATAAAGAATATAAAACAGTGTTTGAGCCTGAAAGTTAATTGAGTATTTACAATGACAAGCAGTGTTTCTATTAAATTAAGATGTAATGTTTTACCTTTACGGCAGAATGAGGAGAGATGACAAGCTGTTGAATCATTTTGCAATATTTACTCAGGTTTAGCGTGGTTGTGTGATGATCAGGGCAGCATTCTCCTACACTGGTAGAACAGACTCGGTGCAAGTTCAGAGAAATCGTCGGATGAGATTCTTCGGTCGCATGCCCTTCTCATTATGCAACAAAGGAACGTCATTTTCCAACAAGACAACGCCCGACCTCACACGGCAAGACTGACAACAGTCTTTCTCAGGAATCAAAACATCCAGGTCCTGCCATGGCCCTCCAGGTCTCCAGATTTAAACCCAATCGAATATATTTGGGATGCACTGGAACAACGACTGCGAGCACGTCTGCAACAACCACAGAACCTCCGACAGTTGGAACAAGCACTGCAGGCATAGTGGGTGAACACTGCCCAGGCCACAATGCGGGATCTGACTGCTTCCATGAACGACGATGCCAGTCAGTTTTGTACACCATTTGGTTGCCATCCCGCCTGATGACGGTTCCACGGTCTTGTAATGGTGTTATTTTTTAATGAGGGTCAAAAACACTCTTTCAGATATTTACGATTTTACTACTGTTGTGTTGTTGTTTTTTGTAGAGTATATTCATAAATTCAAACGTTAGTGTATAACCCAGGGTGATTTACGAAAACGTCTGCAATGTTATGTTTATTATGCATGCCAAAGACTTGCCGTCGTAAAATCCATAAGATTTGTTCCACATTGTATTATTGGTTTTGCATTTCTTGTATGTGGGCCAAATGCCTTCTTCACACATATACACTACTTTTGACTTTCAGTTGCTACCCCGTCATTCTTTTAGGACGTTTCGCTCGGTCCCCTTTTACCAGATATTGGTTTTGTCAATGAATTTGTTATGATAAAACATGGATTAAACGAATGACCAAATATTATGTTGTTATTTTCAATAAAGATACACACCACTTAATATGAAGCACAGCTAGAATATGTGCAATTATTGTTCGGTGACGACGGGTGTTCTCGTCAGGATGTTTGACCGAATCTTTTACAACGCTGCAATTCACTGGGCAGACTGTACCCTTTAATGTAATATGTTCCAATCCCACATTAACCTTCATTGTCATCATATCTGCTTGTTCCATAAATGTTATGTACTGTGCAAAATAACTAGGGGATATGAGGCGACACCATAGAACTATACACCAGTGTCTTGCAAAGCTCCCAAACACATCATCGTGACAGTCATGAAGCACGTGACCTGGGACAGCACTTGCAAGGGATGGTATGCCCGATTTACCTTTGTCACTCAGACTCGGTTGTGGGCAGGCGCATATTGTATTCTTGGAACCAATCGCTAAAACACACTTTAACAAAACACATTTAATCGTTAAAGAAGCGATAGCATTGGCCATGCGAGGTTTGCAACGTGCTGAACATGTATGTACCATAGGCATTTTGCAGGTTGGCATACCTCAGAGTATTGGTGCCCAAACTCTGCATGTTTCTCAATCTGTCATCAGCAGATTGTGGGCCTGATACCAACAAACACATACCGTCGATGATCGAGCCGCGCTCGACGCTCAAGGGCAACAACCCCAGCCCAGCAGACATTAGTCAGAACGAGTGCATTAAGAAATCGATTGCAATCTGCCACTCAGATTAGGGACCGGTTGCAACAGGCAACTGGTGTAATAGTACATGCACAAACTGTGCCAAATCGTCTGCACAGAATGATAGCATTTGCGTGCACGACGTATACGTGTCATCCCTAAAGGTACTGCATGTCATTTGAATGACCGGCGTAAGTGGTGTAGGGAACGTCTGCACTGGGGTATTGTCATGTTTTCTGTCGAACTGAAATTCACTCTTGACCTTCCGTGACTGAAGGAATCGAGTTTGAAGATGTCATGATGAGCGTTTTTTTATGGACGCTAACGTCGTTCAGCATGATCGTTTTAGGGGTGGGTCCATAATGGTATGGGGTTTTATCACAATGACTGGCCGAACCGCTCAAGGTTGTCCATGGCAGAGTCGCAGGTCCATACTATCTGGACACTATCATTCCACAACTCGACCTCTTTAACGACCAAGCATAACCATCTCATCACACCAACCCATTAGATCTGATCCCCTACTCCCCAGCAGATCTGATCATAGCATTTCCATTTGCCAGTACCATATAGATCAGAAGATATGTCTTGGTAATTCACAATATCCCCTACAGTTTTGCATAGCATTTCTTGTCCCACATATAAACATTTTAAACAACAACAAAAAGGACAAAAAACACAATCAGGGTAGCCAAAATTAACTTTCGAAATTCCTTCGTCCGGCGCCCTTTCACCTGCATCTGACCTTGTCTCACCCAGCGGGTATGCATGAAGTTCCTTTATAATAATTACTATCATAATCAAAATGCATTGACCACTAGTTTATTATATACGCCTAAAGCAGGAAAATGATGACCATATTTTGGACGTGAAACAAAACACATTTACTGCACATCTGTGCTATATATACAGTCTAGCATTGCATTGAAAGACGACGTTCGTGAGAACAGCGTACTGTATTCTTCACAATTGTCTTGGGCAGTGAAATTGTGTGTAACTGTTCTACCAATGTTACCCCCTGTGATCGTGTACGGCAGGCGATCTTTCCACAAGGATACGATGGCCAAGAAAAAAGGGTGAAAACGTAAACTTAGCGCTATTGCGCTAAATCAAAAGTACGTATTGTGGGGTCTATATTAGTAACACCTAAACGAATCTTAAAAGCGCTAACGAGGAGTGGCCTAATTAGCCCAGCTTTTCAGGATAATTCTTTTAAAAAAATCCCATGTTCAACAAACCCCTACAATATTGAAAACCTAATCCTCAACAGTTAACCGACCACTTAATAGTTTATCCAGTATAATTTGGAACCCTCCCAAAATACGAAATGCTCCTTTCCACAACATAGCATGTTTTGGCAACGTGAACACCCCTTCCACCAAAGCACATTCATTAATATGTCCAAGTCATGGTGTTTCACATGCCATTGCGTGGATCTCATAACCTCTGAAGTGTTACACTGGTATATTGTGAATTCCATTTCCGGTGCCGCTACCCATTAATGATCGATTTCATAAAATTTAGATCAACATATTCTAAGAAAACATTGCATCTACCCAAGTAAAAGTTCTCGAATAACTCTATATTAATTTTTTACACTATAAGTTTGATATACATTTCGCTATGACAAGTTTTATGCTCATCATTCCATAATACTTGAAACTATTTTAGACCTGGTCCTTTTCAAATGTTAATGTAATTTACTCCTGGAAATAAGAAACCACTTACGGACATCTTAGCATACCATGTGTTATAGGGTAACTTGGTCCCTCGCTCATGATGAGCAAAATTATCTATTTGCAGACCCTCTCCAAGTAGTGTATGGTTCACTTTAACGGAAGGGAGGGAGCACATAAGAGACCACAGACAATTTACCATGCCTGAAGACTAGTTCGACCTTAAGGTCTGCACTCCAATCTCTTTAAAATCAGATCTTTTACTCGCATTGTGTACCTCTGTGCCTGAAGATCCGACAATCCCTCAACAGATTGCCTAAGGTGAACTCCGAGTGACAGCCGAATCAAATATGAAGGATATGTGGCGTGTGAAGCCAACCACACAGAACATAAATATTCTTCACTTTGGGGCGTAGATGCCAAGGCAATCAGAACAGGTACTAATAATGTCCATAACATATTGACACAGCTTTTATACATTTACATTTGGAAGTGGTCAATATATTTCTTTCAAGATTCAGAAATCCAAAATGCTGGTCTTAAGGCTTTGCACCCAGAATTCAGAAGCCTCACTGGACACATCCTTTGGTTAGAATAGACAGGTAAGTTTGCTCATGGTTCACGAACCCAACCTCAAGGTGTCCTCAAATCTTGATGCCAAATGAAATCATATCCAAAGATCTCAAAATTCTGTTTCCTAACCATATTTCCTAGGGTGTTTAATCATCAATTGTAAAACCAGGGTTTGTAAGAAAATTTTGTATAAACCTGTCTAATCAATAATTCAGTAAATGGTGTCTAACCCTACAAATTTAATCGAAGAGATGAAAACACAACATAATCCAGAGATGAAGACAACTGAATAAAGCCAAATAGAAGTTTTTTTCATAATTTTATTGTTGGTGATTGTGACATGTATGCAGTTGACAAGAGTGACATGACCTACTGGAGGTCAAGCAAGGCATAGAACCATTCATGCACAGCTCACTATACTACCATACTCCTTTACAATATTAAAAACTTGACATTGTATCAGTGAGGAAAACAAGCAGTGTCGAGAATTTCATTATTTCTATATTATGCAAATCTGAGCCATCAAAATTACATGAATCTAGATCATCTGGACTATCACAAATCCAAAGTTTCTGCAAAATACCCGTTGAGATGCACTCTGCTCAATTGAATATGGCTCTAATGATTAACAGGACAGATGTCTATGGTGCCCATTTTATCTGAAGACTTACTAACATGAAAAATCCAACCAACATGAGCATACATGTTCTTCCTAAAGAGCACCAACATGACAATAACTTGCCTAATGGTTTTAAAAGATGGATTAGCTACAGAATTAACAGCAATGACAAAGTATGACAGCATACAAGCAATTGGTTGCAAAATATGTCGTAGGGATAACCAGCAAAATACGACCAAATAGCAATGGAACTCCTGTGTTTCTATATCCTGCAACATATATGAATAATTTTCCTTGTCGATAGATTCATAAACATAAACAGATCACAAGCTGTTATGGCCTCATCATTCACAAAAAACAAACAGTTAACATGATGAATCACTTTCAGTAATTGACAAATTTAAGAGAGATGTAAATTACAACATGTAAGAACATTGTAAAGTGTGATTTAAACAAGCAGACATATTTTTCCAAGCAGTAAACAAGGTAGCTTACAATATGCAAGAATAATCTAATGTGCCACAAACAAGCCGCCCAAAAAGATACATTCACTGTTTCACAATATGGACTGTATTTGTCAGCAGCAAGTATTGCCCTGCCAGCAACAGTAATAAATATAATTACGGATCACAGCTGTTCAACAGTGTCACCTTTATGCTGTCACAACAAAACTGCAATTCATTACATGTATAATGTATATAAATGCCATTTCACAGATTATTTGCATACAAAAAATCTACAAGCGAGATGCTCCCAAAATCCAACTTACTAAATTTGCACACACACATACATACATTATATATATATATATATATATATATATATATACATATACATATATATATATATATAATAAAATACTAGACATACTCATGATGATATTCTTATTGGAAAACTATAAACTGTCACAATATGCTTGCTAAGATAACACTCGTGATTAACACATTCACAAAACATCTCCTCCTCACCACACTTTTGAGTATTTCAACTGAATTCTAAAAGTGTTACCATTAACAATGGCCAATGAACACAGCTGCCCTATATATTGCTAGACAGACATGACTTTTGTTTTTGATAGCAGACAAGCATGCAGGTAGACAGGGTATGTAAACTTGGTACTGTGTGAATTATGACACCATCCCCCATCCTCCAAATACAGTCAATATGACATTAACTGCATCGAAACTACAGTCCTACATAGATACATGTATGTACACAAGGAAATCAATAATACAACTATACAGATATGGTATATACAATGTAGTAGTGTCTTTCTTCGCATTCAGAAAGGCAAAAAGAATACAGTAAAACTAAATAACACTATACTGTAACAAGATGACCAGACAGAACCAAAAACATGAATAGAAAGTTCAAACACATATGCTTGAAATACAGAGCACAATTCAAGATATTCGTTAGAAAATGGTATGGTTTTCAAAACCCTTTGCATGTTTTGACAGGTTATAGTTTTGTATATCATACATATGTTAGGCAGATTCAACACATTTTACAGATCAAAACGAAGGATATTATGTTACATAGTTACGACGTTTTTTAGAGTGATTTTCGATCTGTGATACCGGTTTTACCCAGTTACAGTGAAAATTATTGCCCATATTTGCAATTACAGATCATGACTTACCACTATCAAAATTACCTAGGTCATGTCCCTAGTGTGAACATAACATTATATCTTAAGAAGGCTTTACCAACTATGATCATTCTTGCCTAATGTGTGGTACTATGTACCCCCTAGAGTTTCACATAATGAAGTCCCAATATATTCTGGGCAATGCAAGAGATCCAGCACAATACTAGCACTTCAATATTCAAGTCTCCTTCCCATTATGTTGAATGCCTGTCCTGAAGCCTGTCAGCTAGATGGTATTCACAGCTCAATATTATGACAGTGAGTCTCCCTTCGAGACCGACAGACAATACCCCACACTCCTGCAACTACCCACACTGACACTGTCTGACAGTGGCTCAGCAAGCTGGCTATGTAGCAGGACTAGGATTTTCTAGCATCTCCATCAGGAAAGTGTCTATTGGTGTGTCTCCAATTAGCTTGAAGAAGAACAGGTGCTCCAAGCATTTAAGTCCAATGCTGCGCAGAGCAGGTAATCTGAGTAAGAGTTTGGCAAAGCGGCCTGGCTCATCAGGATAGCGAGTTTTACAATACTCTTCCAGAGATGCATAAACTTTTTCTCTCAATTGTTCAACCTCTTGCACTGCAGACAGACCTTTAGCATCTGAAAAGAATGAAGAGGGGAAATAAGTTAACAAAACAAACTTTATACTACCAATCAAAGGAATGGAAGTTGTTATAATCTGCCTAGTCTGATGTTATTCACAAAAAGGAAAAATGGATGTTACACAGCTCACCAGGATTGAAGAGTACAATGGCTCGCAGACAGCCAAGTTCTGTCTTATCCATCTTCATCTCTCTCATCTTGGCTACCAGCTCTGTGAGCACTCGGTCAAAGATTGTACCAACCCCTGCCTGATGTGCAGAACTGCGATGTACATGAAGGCCAGTTGCCAAGAGTATGCCATCCTTTACAGCAATAGACCGATGTGAAAATCCTGCGATCAACAGTTCATTCCATCCTGAAACAGACAAATATTTTGGGGTGAAAAGATCATTATTTGTAATAAAATGTCCTACCGAAACAAGTTCAAACATTAGCTCATTCACTGCCATTTCCTCAAAGCCCCCAAAATCATACAAATCAAACATACAACCATGCACTTTCAACCCAGTATATATTAATAACTTGACATGTGACTCATAACATGAATCAATATAGGTAAGGTTATTATCAGCAAGACAAGCCATACATACCCCTGCCATGCATGCTTACAATTGTAAATAAATGTTGGATTACTGAGAATAATATAGGCCCTAGACTGATACATATGTTTCACAAAGAAACAAGCATGAAATACTCACATCCCCCGCCAATATGACATGTCGGGTGTGTGCAATGCATTAGCTCCTGTGAACTATGTTCACTGGGCCTTTTCGTAAAGAAATATAGTAGGTTTTTCAAGATCTGTTCCGGAAACGAGGACTTCCCTACATTTTCAGTTTAAATCAAAGTCGTTGCCATGGAAACTCGAAAAATAACTTTAAAAAAAAATCCAAAACTATCCAAAGGCACCAGTTCACCGCTAGACCTATCAATGTGCAAAATATGGTGAAGAAAAATGGTACGGTTTTCAAGATCTGTTCCGGAAACGAGGACTACTGCCATTTTCAGTCTAAATCAAAGTCGGTGCCATGGAAACTCGAAAAATAACTTTAAAAAAAAATCCAAAACTATCAAAAGGCACCAGTTAACCACTAGATCTATCTATGTGCCAAGTTTGGTGAAGAAATATGGTACGGTTTTCAAGATCTGCTCCGGAAATGAAATGTGACGGACGGACTGCACCCATTCCTATATCCCCCTTCCACTTCGTGGCGGGGGATAATAATTAAAAGTGTGGCATCATAAATGAACCTCATCTGAACTTGTTGCCTTGAAAAAGTAAAACAAAAAATTTAGAACTTTCTTGATATGTAGACAAAGATATATTTCATGGTTAAAGAGTCATGCTCTTGAAACTAACCTTACCCACATTTGAGGGTAAACAAGATTCTTGATGGTGTTTTTCAAACTTTGATAATGTATTCATCCTTAATGATGCATGCAAAAAGCCATCAAAAGTGGGTTTCTGAAGAAAGGACGAGGTAGCTTAAGGGCCCTATTTGGCCCTCTGGAAATTAAGAATGTCAAGCTAACAGTTTTCTGTAACTTTATGGGAAAAAATTGCTAACTTCAAGAGGAAATCTATGAGAAAGTGTGACCCAAGATGATATTTTTTTAGCATATGTTAAATACAGCTCAGATCAGCAGGGGTCCGACCTACTGATGTTCAAATATTTCATAATTTTCATAAAAACTTCCAAAAATCTGCCTCTTTGACACATTTTAGCTGTATGTTTTCATGTAGTGTTAATTGTAGCCCCAAACATGCATGTGTTGAAACTAACAAAGTGTGGTTCTCATTTCTAAAAGTGTTGCTAATTTCTTAAATTATGTGGATCATGTGGACCAAAAGGACTCTTATCATATCTTGTCCTTTGTACAATAGACAAAAGAGCCATAACTCCGTTAACTATTAATTAACTCTTTCAACACCTTAGGCCGGTATACCGGCCAAGAAGCATCGAGTCCCCAGACACTGTAGGCCAGTTTACCAGCCAAACCGTAGTCACGTCACAATAGTATATCTTCTTATGGACCTACCTGTAATATCATTCATTTATTAAATCTAACACATTTCACAATGTTTGAAATACGTATTCGATTCCCATTTATCATTTTTTATCGATAAATTAAAAAATTATTCACTATTTCCCCGCAGTGTTATTGAAAATAAAATTCTCTGACACACACACTTCGACAACAGGTCCACCTTGAACATGTCAAAGAGCAAAATAAAGATGTTTTAAACAAATCTTAAAATATATTATACAAAGTAATAAATAACATCAACAAAAATATATCTAAAAGTAATCAAACTTACATCTAAGTTATTATTTCCATCTTTTCATGAGATTGCGTGTAATGTAAGTCAAATGACATCTCGGCTTTCGTCGCCTTGAATTCGTGGCTTGGACACGATGTTAAATGCAAAAATATATGCATGAAAAATCTTTGTCACAGCTCGTAACCTAGCACGATACATTCATGAAGTTTTATATATGTCGTGATTTCCTGCTTAAAATGTTTAGAATAACACAATTTAACCAAAATCTTTTGTCAACTTCTGAAATTTATCATACACGAGCTTGGTATCACAGCTGTAATTTGATTGGCTGCCTAAGGTCACGTGCTCAAATTTGACCAAGCATACCGTATATCGCTGTGTATAAGGCGAGTTTTTCGTACCTAAAATAAGGGGGCTAAGAAGGGGGGTCGTCTTATACACGGAGTCGAAGATCTCACATTTTTTTCCACTGGCGATGTCAACCGGCGTCAGATAGCCAGCCGAGCATTTGACAATAAAACTTCACATTTCGTCCTGAATAACTGTTCCAATAACTATTTCCATACATAAACATGATTTGTATCTCTTTTCCTTGAATAAAGTTTAATAATTTCTGCAAATAAAGTTGAAATGACCCTCGCCTCGATGCAGATTGTCAAACCACCTGACACGGTAAAACAATCAACATCCGCGAGTAGAGAGCCGGAAGTACTGGTAAGCATTTGCATATTGCACATGTGACCTAACATGTGATAACCGGTGAAGCTGAAATCAATTCCCGCTGTTTTTACAGTTGTATTAACAAGTGTTGGAGACAGTGTGTACAAGTGATTGTGGAATAAACACACTGAATGTGAAGCAAACATAAGCCTAGTTAGTTACAACATAGTTAATTGGCGATTAAATTACTCACCATTGTCTCTTATATGTTATTACTTCATAAATGAATTTTATTTTATGGGCACCAATTTGGTGTCGTACCATGTAAACACAAAATGGCGACGTGTGCTGGAGTTACACACGCGACCTATCATTGTAGAAAAAAAACAACGCAAGATAAACATAGTTTTATTGCATATATAAGGTTTGTGTGCGCACTTGTGATGTGTGCGAAATACGCATCAGTCGGAAAGCGCACGTTAAATCTCCAAAGTAACAAACTAACTTGTGATGTCCGTGTGCGAAATACGCTACAGTCGGAAAGCACACGTTAAATCTTCTATATCAGTCAGACTTGTGATGTGTTTCATTCCCGGTCGCCTTATACACGGAGTATAGGATTTTGGGTTGATTTTTAAGGCGTGTACAGGGGGGTCGTCTTATACGTGGGGTCGCCTTATACACAGCGATATACGGTAAACCCTGTAGCAGATTTCGGCAAGAAAGCGTCATTAGAAACCAATTTTAATCCAATGAAATTGCTTGTAATAACTACGAAAAAACTCCAGGCGATGTTACGAGCGTGTAGATGAAGGAATGAGCTTTTCAGCGATGTGTCATATGCCAGTCTTCGACGAACGTGTTATTCATACGAACCCTTTGAAAACGGGGGAATTTCTTCATGTAAAGGAACGGACAGACGCTGTTGTCGGGAAATGGGTGATGACAGATACTTTCTATAATTTTTTTTTGAAAATGATTTTCCAATTACGTAAACAATGAAAATAAAACAGAAATAGGTAAGTGGATTTTATGAAATCTTACATTTGCCGAGTTTTCGCTTCCTTGGACCTTTATCTGGACATTAACGTGGTAGCTTACATTTTGTATTTACAACGAAATTAATTAAGTTGTAAATGCATTATTTAAATAATGTGAAAAACATAACTTTCATATTTATAAACCATAGGATCAGACCTTTCAGATGGTTTGTAACATGTAGTAGCAAAGATATTTTACAAGCAGATATTTTCTTTGATAAATGTTGGCTTCATCTATCACACAAGAGTCTCTGGGAACTCGGTGTCCCAGCACTAAACACTTCTGGTTGACTGGTGTTGAAAGAGTTAAAGCCTTGTGACCAATCAGGCACCATGTCCAAAGATCATACAGGGGTCATTACATTGTCAAAAATATATTTACGATTTAGCTTTTTGAACTCATCAACATATTAATCCCTAAATATGTTTTCAAATTTCATCCTTGTAGCCATGTTTCAGAAAAAAATTCCCCATTGAAATCTGATGGAACAGATGGAGCCCAAACCGATATCACCCTGCCATGAACCCTGCAACTTCATGGCTGAGGATAACTGGAATCTGGCAACAGGTTAACTTATATTATACTCATAGATGTAATGCAGTACACCTCTCACCTGCTCGAAGGAGGATCACCTGGTCCTCGAGAGGTAACTCTGTGAAGTGAGGTATGCGCTTAGCCCACTCAACCAATGTAAACAGTTGCTTGTCTGCTGCTTGGCAAATATTAGTCACTGGATCCTTCTGCAAAACACACACACACACAATGAGCCTAAATCTCAGTTCTGAAAAAACATCACAACATTAAAAATGCATGACAGCCTGGACAGAGTTATACCCCTTGAACTGTAGATGAGAGAGGGCAACCCAAATTGAAGCATTTACTGATGATTTAGGAATATCTGAGACAAGTTATGTATAAAATTGGTAATTTGAAGAAATGTGCTAATGGTTAACTTGACTAGCAAAACATCCTGATGATCCCGCCAAAATTACAATGGTTGGCATCTGTGTAGAAGGCCCTGCCAAAGAATCTGACTGAGCAAATAAGCCTAATAATATATTCCAGCATACCTGTAAATAATAAGTGGTAGAAACTTACATTTATAGCCCACTTGTCCTTATCATGATAACATATAGCAAGACCCTTTAAAAATGGCAAACTGCTTCTAGTCCTTATGATACCTTAACTATTGGGGCACTAACCAATGCTCAATAACCTGAGCCAGATAAACAGGTGGTTAAAATTATGAGCATAAAATGCAATAAACCAAATCATCCAGCCTGTGTACATGGAAATTCCCAATGGATTTGTAATTGCATCTCAACAGATAAACATTCATGTTGATCCCCAGAATCAGGGCAGGCTGGAGTATGAAGTAGTGAATTGACAAGACTCCAGACCTTTCTCCACACATATTAATTTCAAATATCAGTTTTAGCCTGCACTTCTAAAAACAGGCTCTGTAACTCATAACAAAATGTATAATATACTATTCTACATCGTTGATGTGCGATTGTCAAATTCAATCTCGGAAGTGAACAAAAGTTCCACAAATCCCAATGTCCATTTTGGAAGTTTCTAGGCTCAATCTGAAATCACTTATCAGAATAAAACAATGCAGCTGTTCCATGGCAATGTATATTGAAAATCCATCCCTGTGTAAACAGATCTCATAATGCAAACCTGCCCTTGAGTTACAAACATCTACATTCATACCACCATGACTATATGGCAGTTATACTAACATCTAAAACACAAAGGAGTGACTCGGCAATAGAAACAAAAAGTTTTTGGCCACTTGTCCTTATTATGATATTATATAGCAAAACCCTTAAAAGGGGCATATTTATACTGGTCCTTATGATATCTCAACTATTGGGCAAGGACTATAGGACTAGAGCTCTACAATTCTAACAATTCAGTTACTACTTGTGTACATGTGGTATACATACCTGTGTGTCAATGTAAGTGTCAATCTTAGGTTCTACTGCCAGTTCAGCCTCCAGAATCTGCTCTGTGGGCATATCATTGTTGGCTCCACTGGTACTCTCTACTTCTTCCCCCTTCTCCTTCACACGTTGCCTCTCCTCCTGTACGGCTGCCAACAAAGCTAACCAAGTCAGTGGACGTGGGGAATCACCCCGACAAAGACAGTTCCATCAAACTCAAAAATCTGCCAGCCAGTCTCCCTCCTTTAGCTCATTATACATGGCAAGTAACAATTACCTCAGCTGAGGTCAAGCACATGTCATCAATCCATGCAGAGACTTTATATGGGCCCTAAGAAACCCAGATATCTGTTAGTATTGTCCTATGTTTGGAGAAAAATATGCTCTCAATTTAGCAAGTGTAAAAACTAATTTGCACTGCACAATGTGTGGATATCAGTAAGTGATGTACACACTTAGTGCAGTCTAGTGTTCAATGTTCATGTTGCACCTATCTGGAAAACTGGACTGGCATTACATGAACAAACATATATTCTCATTATATCTTCTCAAAATGGAATGGTCCAGATGGAGCTGCTTTGTCCCTACATCCAACTGGTGCATACATTGCAAAACAATAACAAAAAATACAGGATTAGTAGCTCACCTTGCAGTACATTTCAATTCCATGCATTGAGAAGGAACACTTCATGAAAACATCTAAGATTTATAGTTTCAGCTTCAAGAAAATCTAAAATACCAACATGACCATAACAGCTTGGTCCATTTTGGTTTGACAATGTTTCAACCATGTGAAGTAACATGTTGGACTAAAGATAAATTAGGGCTCCAAGCCAAAGGCTCACAAGTGGTTCCTTACGTTGGACGCCGTTTGTACAAGCAAACCATGTGCGGATTCAACATGGACGCCGTGTGAAATGGATTTAGCACATCCCGGGACTTTCGTGGGACACGTCAATGTCGTAGGGGCAATGTCTCGCAAGCGTTTCCTTACTTTTGACAGCGTCGGTACAACCAAACCATTTGGGGATTCGAACATGGACAAGGTCCGAAACAGGTTAAGCACTATATCTAAGCAATGCAACGAAACCCAAGGTTTGAAATGATTTCAAACTTTCTGAGAATTGTCTCCATATATAACACATCAAACTCTTTTAGCCGTTTTAAGATATCTTTCTTTGTGACGGCCCTATTGGATTTGGATTTTGATGATTTTTTTCACCGAAATATTACTTTAAAGATCATATCTTGTAAGGTTCTCCAAAGAAACTATTGAAAGTTGACATGAAGTTAGTTGGACATATGTACCTCATCTTTTGTTCTTGGTTGCATGCTAAAGGTAACACTGCTTGGTGGTAATATTTAATCAATATTTTGGACACCCCTGGAACAATCCCAATTTCGTAGCGGCGATGTCCGGTGACTATTTTTTGACGGAGTCGGTACAAGCAAACCCTTTGAGGATGTTCAAGGTCGGAAATTTGTTTAGAACAGTCTTGGACACCACCCGCACACGACAATTTTGTAGCGCGATAACCTGCAAGTGGTGCCTACATTTGACGGATTTGGTACAAGGAAACCCTTTGAGGATTCGAACATGGACGTTTGTGCGCAGTGTTACTTGGAGCCCACCATAGCTGCTTGCAGCTTTAATTTCCACTTTGCTCTCAGATAGCAATTGCTCAACAATGTCAACTGATTTAAGATTGTTTTATGAAGTGGCATCTATTTGGTACCAATGGCAAGGAAGTACATACCTTCTCTCTTCATTCCCATGGAGAGACACTTCATATATCGGCAATACTGGCAGCGGTTGCGCTGACGCTTGTCAATCATACAGTTCTTGTCATCTCGGCATGCATATGTCAGCTCTTTCCTGACAGTTCTCTTGAAAAAGCCTTTGCAACCCTCACAGCTAAAAAGTACAGAGACATCCATCCATACATCCATGAAATCAAAGGCTTAAGCCAACAAAGACAGCCACTAAACATTCGTTGCTGTCAGCATTGATGTAATCATATGTTTTCTGTATTATCACTGAAGATCAAACGACGAGTGAAAACTAAAATCTAACTTTCCCTTACAAAAAGCTACAACACAACCATATCTTGCTCACATGTCTTTTGACTGCAGGGATAATTTTGTTTTCATAATGACAATATTCAATTAAATATTCCTCCCCCAAAATGTTTGGTTTGCTTGCTACCTAAAATACCATTCTATGCTTGTCCTAAGACTGTAAGAGGTGACTAGCGGGTTCGGGTGGCCAGGCTCATGCATGTCATCGTATCCGAATTGTGTGGATCGATGCTCATGATATCAATCGCTGGATTGTCTGGTCCAGACCCGATTATTTACAGACCGCCGTCATATAGCTGGAATATTGCTGAGTGCAGCGTTAAACAAATGAACCTATTTCATAAAAGATAAACTCTCAGTTTCCTCATTTCACAGCCATTCGCAAAATACTACCCCATAAATTATGTGACAAACAATAAAAAGTATCGTAAAATATCATCTCCAGCTAGATCTTATATATTTGATATCAATAGAGAGACTCTTGTGAGCTACTCTATTAGCTTGCTATGATGCTTGGCCATACATGAATCATACAGGCCAAATAACAAAATCACAATTTCCTACAGGAACACTTACCTATATACACCATAGTGTTTACCAGAAGCCCTATCACCACAGATGGCACAGATATGTTTATTGGTTAGGGAGGAATGTGCCATTCCCATGCCCGGAGGTGATGGAGAAGGTCCTCCGCCTAGTGACAACATTGGGGGTGATCCTAAAGGAGATCCCATGGATGATGTAGGGGAGTGGAGAGGAGGTGAGTGCATCGGTCCTGGATGGCCAGGTGATGGCTGTGTTGATGATGGCATGGAGGGGATGCCATGGCTGAAGCCATAGAAACCACCGTGCGTACTAGTGGGTGAAGTCAGGGCAGAAATGTCAGGCTTAATATCAGGAGGATGACCCATTCCACCCATCTGTGCCATGGACATGCTACCCTGCATACTGCCATTCACATTACTGTCCAGCGTATCTGTTAACAAACAAAAAAACATTCATTACAATAGGCTTGCTGAAAAAAAATACTTAAGTATCATTAATAATAATATGAAATCTCATAAGATATTGATAAATGATAAAATAAACATCAGAAGACATTCTCCCTCCCCCTTTTTAACAAAGGGATTAATTTATTTTTGATTTTGTCATAAAAAAAACCTGGAAATGGCAACCGTGAGTACATTCATTTGGCTATGTTATTTACCATTTGTTGAGTTAAAAATAACCAACATCATAACTAGAATGATTATCGGAAGAATATAAATCTGAAAATATATTTGTATTAACAAAATATTCTGACATTTTGTAATCTTAGTTACTGTTTGTAACGTAAGTGTATTAAATACAAAAAATAATCCTCAGTGTAGTATCATTGGTTGGTTTAGTAGTTTCAAATTGTTTGACCAGTCACCATGAGAGATCAACCAGTCAGTGATCATCAATAAGAAGACATTTCGAAGCCACACATTACCGACTTTGTATAATTTTAAAGTCAACTAAGAGTCAATATTTGTCGGTTGTTTAACGTGGCACTCAGCAATCATATTCCAGCCATACGATGACAGTCTGTAATTAATCTCATCTGGACCAGATAAAGCAGAATATTCATGACACGTCTTCATTTTTAGACAAATAAGGTTCACTTCAAGGCATCAATAGCAATAATCATGGTTTCTGTAAATAATAGGAACGTAACGATACATTGATGTCTTCATGTATTGCAATATGAAGTATCAGAAAAATACTCTAAAGCGGAACAGTTTTGCGAAAAAGGAAAGTACTGCAGAAACTGCGAGTGAATAGTTGCGCATGGCGCAGGTATTATAGTGGAACAAACAAAAAGACTTCAGGAGGCAAATTTCTTTAATTCGCTTTCACACCTTGACAAACTCGCCAGTATGAGTAAATTAATAATCCCTCGCATCCTGCATTCCTCGAATTACATATTGTGACTCAGCGTCAACAGTCAAATTTTGTTCACTAATCTGCCATATCTTGTCAAGTTGCTGACATAACACTGAGTAGTCCAAACATATGCCAGCCAGTCTATACTGTTAGGTAAACACGTTACTCCAACAACACATGCATCTATAGTTAAAAACACTGAATTACCATGTCATTGGTCATTATGCTGTTCCCTACTTATAAAAATATAACACATGCAAATGTACCTTTGATCTTTGGTAATCTTAACGGTGTCGGTAATCTTTCCAGATGCGGTTAATGTTAGTGTTAGCCAGTAACAATAAATTTATGGCACAAAACCTTCCAGATTTACAGCATATTTCAACATATTTTTGCAAAAGAGATGGGCTATTACAAAGAATTATTGATTGAAACTTTGAAATGTACATCTTAGCAAATTCAAAACAATGCTTCACCTATTATCCATCTGCACAAAGCTTGCAGATTGCACAGATATGTTTATTTTTTTTTATAATATTTCATCAGCTTTGGATTTGAGACATTTCATAACAGGCATGTCAGATTCTACCACTTTAATCACTGTCCAATGATTTACGTCCCAAGTCAGTGGAGGTGTACCTTTGTGTGACCATGGTAGGTCAGTTGATTGTAACACTCTTTACTATTGTCTTGTTCACTTCACCATTACAACTTTGAAACCCAAATTGATCCCAAACTATACTTTCAAATTTAACAAAACTGTAAAAGATCAGATAAATTGTTCACACTTTAAAATGGCTACTCATAACCTTCCTAAGTGTCCATTTTTTAATACAATACAAGGTTATTTGCACCAAGGTTTAAAAGTGTGGATGTACCTCAGTTGATTTTCTTGTCCAGAAGGGATTCTGGAAGCTGGTTGCTTGTCTAAGTGAGATCTGACCTACAGCAGAGATCGTCCTCACTAGAAGTTATGGTGCAGTATTCTTAATGAGACAGAAAAGTCTTTGCCTCTAGCTACCTTAATAACACAGTTTAACCACTTCCAGTTATTGACCTTCACCTTCAATCTCATCCATGAACTGTCGGGTGATCATGTAAAAAAAAGTTTCGTCAAATTCCAAAAACAAATGCTCAAGAGTCAAGATCATTTGTCTACACAGGTTTGTTGGGCGGTTTAATTCACTCCAAGTGACCTTGACCTTCAACTTAAAACTTGGGATGTGCTGTACCCAAAGAAAATCTCTAAACTATAACACACCTGTTTTGTGTGTATCCTACTCAGAAATATAGGCATAAGTGCTTTCAATTAAACTTAAAAACAGTTATTGTTACCTTTAAAAAGAATTACTGAATATTGAACATCGCTTTAATATTAAATGCCCTCATCATTTAAACAGGTAAATGTGTTGAAAAACTGTTTAAATGTCTTTACTCATGTTAACTGTTCTTATACTGATAATCTGTGATAGAAAATAAGCACAGTACCATGGATTATGCATGACCTTACTTTCTTTCTGAATGGCCCACCTTACATCAAGGCTTGTATGGACACTGAATATGCTCAACCACAGAGTAGCATATAAGACAAATATAGTTTAAGCAGCCTGTTTCTAAACATCTTCCTGTGTTTCCACAAGCCTATACCAAAGCCTAGTTTCTACCCTAGGGTGGGAACTAAACATTTTGCTGCAGAGAAGATGGTTTCAACATGCTAATATATGTCTCATGAATGGCCACTGATTCATCATGTTGATAGCAAGACAGTGAAAAATAAGGACGAACTCTGAGCAACAGCATGAAGCAATGACAGAGTGAATGTGTTGACAACCTTTTCACAATTTCAGTGTTGGTCCAATTGAAATCCTATTAAGAAAAAACAATGAAGTTGACCATTTGGCAGCTGGCAAACAGCCCTTGATATTTTAAGTGTCTTCTCAAAAATTACTTCTTCAGATAAACAGAAATTGTGGATTATTACACAAGAGTTGCCAATCAATACTTGTGCCTTTAATCTTGAACAAGAGGGTTAAGCATGCTTTTAGTTTTAGGCTGTTGGCTGGATGTCGTTTCTTCATGAATACCAGCACCATATTCTTTTGATACCAGGTCTGTGTTTGATTTCTGATGCATAATGTCCCCATACACAAAATAAGTTGGGACGTATACTTGACAAATCATGTTTTACTCCGATTTGAAACCTCTCTCAATCAAGATTCGCAAATAAATCCATCAGTTGAAGTCTTGGCAAAATTTTGACTGCCCAATGGCAGCCATATAGAAAACTGGATCAGAACCTCTCAACCGAACTGGGGTGCTTGTCAACACTCTGCATGTCTTCTGTATTTATGCACTCATGGAATATTTTGCAGAAGTTTGCTAGTCCATAATATCATATACAGGGCTCAGTTTAGCTACATAAAACATGCACAAATGAAACCTATAATTGAAAAAGGCAACCTAATATTTATGTCAGCATGCACTAAGTGCATGTCAAAATAAATTCAAATTTGTGTCTGACTGAGCCTTACTGTCTATCAAAATCGATATTTGAACACACTCAATATCACTAAAGTTCATTTACCATACGACATCACTAATCCCTGTGTTACATGTAATTTGTCATGCTTTCTTAGGCATGACGTCATCAAACAATGGGTACATCAAGATGATGTGCACATGTTACTGTTACATTTTACAGCAATGCATAATTAATTTATGTGACACTGGCAGCAGACCGGCCTATGTTTTAACTTTGATAGATTCATGGGACCAGAGTGCAACCTGGTTTTGTTTGGTGCATAGTTTTCATGTCAATATGCACCTGGTCTAAGTTAAATCAAGGTCCTTTGATATGGGAGCCCTGCATAAATTGTTGTCATTAATGCAAAAAAATTTAACCTAGCTGTTTAAGGTTTTACTGGTAACGTAAAGCCTACCCCTCAATGACATTTGACATTGAAACTTCACATTTCGTCAGACATAATGATTTCCTTTTTCATACTATACATTTTTTGCAAATAAAGTTTAAATGAACCTCACCTAGACCAGGATAGCCTAGCTAGCTGACACTCCGACAAAAAATCAATATCTGGCAGTAGAAAGCCAGAAGTAAGAAGGATAAGCAGAACCACCTCAAAATAGGTGGAACACATCTAGAATAACACTAAACAGATACTTTTAATGTTTAATGTACACTTGCCTTACATGGCTATCTAATTATATTAGTGCACTGAAATATAACACAAAGTAGGCAAATATCTAACCAATAAGATCACTAAACATTAAATCATAAATGTCCCCGATATGTTGCAGACATGATCTAGCGCATGATATGAAAATCTAATCAATGCCTTTTGCTTTTGCATCCAGAGATTATGAACAAAAATGCTGATTGTTAAACAAAACAAAGCTCAGTAAATAAAATCAAAAACAGAGTTCAGGGTTTTATACGACGCACAAACATTGAGACTTGATGCAGAAAAAGAATATGCTACATCCCAATGGACGCACAATAATATTTATTGTACCAACAGCGCATTAAGAGCAGTTAGGGGAGTCTGTCATTTCATCCACCAATAATGACCACTGTCCACATGATCATTGATTTATTCCAAGTAATTATCAAAACATACAGTACACTTCAAGATTTCATTCATATTGCCTGCAAGGACCCTTAAAATTGGGTTCCCCCTCCTGTGAATCAGTGTAAACACTAAATTACTATTTCAAAAACTGATGTGTCAACATGGTCAATTTTCTGAAACTGTCCATTGGAAATCCTGGTTCAAAACATACTACACAACATCAGCAACTAATAAAACATATGATAGTCTCTGCAATAGCGATGTTTCGGTAGTTGCTTTTTTATGTGATCTTTGTTACCTCGTCGTACCTCACTAACTTTATGTACGCTGTCGTAAAAAAGCAAGATTTTCTGAATGTATTCTTGAAATTATGTTAAAATGACAGGTCAGAAGACATTCTCTGTGATGGATTGACAAGACAATGATATCACAGAGATAATAAATGGCGACCATGCTAAGAGTGATTTTGGTCGTTTCAAAA